TACGTTTTTAGAGAAACCTAAATTATATTTATAAGTACATAAAAATAAATTCACTCAATAATTAAATTATTTTATGTTTTGAATGACAGACGACCATAATATAATAATTTCAACTTCTCTTAATCTGTTTCTTTATATAATATATAATTTTAATTGGAATTATCTTAAAGATACATTACAGCATACTTTAAGGTTGACTTAACATACAAACCAGAGCAAACCACTGAATTGTTCCAAAATCCGTACTAAGAACTATAAGCGATCTACATCCTTGATCTTTTATATATTCTTCCAAAATTCAAATTAAAGAAATCCTCTTTCCTATAAACCTGCTATTATACAAAAATAATCACAGGTATAAACAACCGTACATGGAGACTCGATATGTAAATATATTTATTTTTTTGTTGTGCGGTTATACAGATTATTTATTTTTTTAGTATTTAATAAATAAGTTTGTTGCGTGTACCTGTAAAAGAAAAAGTCAGTTATTAATAGTTAACCGAGTTCCTTTCTTAAAAATTAATGTACTCAAATCTATTTTCAAACAAATCTTGTTTTAACATAAAAGTGCTGATCCTGTACATTGATCGTCCGCTAAATATATGCATCCATCTATAACTTAATGAGTATAACTATAACTATTTTATTACTATTAAGTTGAAAGATTTTGTGCTTTGACAAAGAAATTTGCTCCAATCTTTACAATAAATTTTAGTATTACACAAAGGCTTTTTTTCATTCAATATACGATGATCACACACAACAGCGTCAAAAACACTCCACATGTATTTTCATTCCCCTCTCTAGAAAACCTACAAGTACTATTAAAGCTTAACAAGCTTTAGCTTTACAGATGAGCATAAAAATCTTTAGAGTGATCTCGAGGCAATCAGAAAACGACTTGACTTGAAAGATCCTTTCAGATAAGAACTTATGGGCAACATAACAGAGTTTTGTGGGAACATTGAACTGGCAGAGCTTGCAAAAAGGGATTATAACTTTATTATTTAACTTATATTATGTTTGTAATGCTTATTTTTCACCGGTTCATATATTTTGACTGTTATGGACCTATGTTTTAAACGAGATGGTCAGTTGTATTCTGCTTAAAGAACGTGTGGGCTGTCGTCGTCCCGAGAAGCATTTATTCATAGAGAGTAGTTATTAAAAACTGTTTTGAAATTATTGAAGCGATGTCAAATACTTGAAATGTAAAATTATATAAACTTAGACACTGTTTTTTCACACCAATTTATAATGAGTTTTCAGTTATGGAAATCATGGGAAAGTATATTCAAAAATTCTTTTTTAATACTTACTATACTAGGTTAGGTTAGGTTCGGAAGGCGCGTGCTGCCAATTGTAAGCACTTCCACTCGGAGGCATATATTGCCCATAGTGATGCCCCCAAAAAATTTTGCCGGGATAGGCGAATTGCTAACCTTTATAATCCTTGTTAAACCATTTGGTTTTCCAGATGAAGTTGAGCAGATCCGATAAGTTTACTTTCGTTATCTCATCCAAGCCAGTGAAAAAACAATCTCCGAGGCATTACTTACTATACTAACTTAAATGCTTACCAATGTCATTTTGAAAAATACCTGAAAAAAGTCTCAAATATTTTAACTAATACTGTAAATTAGTTAAAAACAACTTACATGAATTTAGAAAAAACTATTATTATCTTTATATGCACTAATTACCAAGTATTTCTCAATCGGAAACGGCTAAATAAATAACTTACTTAATCGGAAATTTTCTGAAAATTAAAGCTCTACAATTTTTTTTTTAAGAAAATTATGAATTTAAGATTCATATAAACAAAGGAAATGTCTCTGTGATTGCAATGCAATTTTCTTCTTGTTTATTTATTTATTATAAAATTTGTTTTATTTTTTTTAATTTATTTTTTACAATTTGTATTATTGTGATTGTGGTCGCTTGATTGCCAGTGAGTTGTTGTTGTTGTTGTTGGTGGAATTCGTTACTACAAACTCACACGTCTCGCACCCTCGCTTGGCGTACAAATATAGAATTCAATACGTTGAGCTGCGTCCTTATTGAATTTTCTGATGAAATTCTCACGCATCGTCGCCATTACACTGTCAACAACGGAGCGCTGCAGCAAAGTCACAGTGCAACCGCCGAAGCCACCGCCAGTCATACGTGATCCCAAAACACCAGAACAATTAATGGCCGCATTCACCAGCACATCCAGTTCAATGCAGGATACTTGGAAGTCGTCACGTAATGATGTATGAGACTCTTTCATTAGTTTGCCCATCTGTTTGGTTAAGGAAACAACAAAACAATGAAAATACGAAATAAGAAGAAGAAAAAATTGTGCGAATATAAAATGGCCACATACGTCAATAAAAAAAATACGCAATAAAAATGAAAAATAAAGTGGCAACAGAAAATTAAATTGTGCTGTCAAAACAGGGTGTGTTCAGTGTTTAATTGCATGTAGCGAGGACACGCAAACACAAAGAGGCACTCGAACACAGTATGTATTTTATAATTCAATATTATTATAATTTCTAATTAGACACTATTAAGTTTTCCTTATTTTAATTAAGGCATAAATTACTCAAGAAAACAATGGCACACTGTGTGCCTTCGCCGTCGCCGTCGCCGTCGCCGTCGAAGCGAGCAGTACTCATACTTTGCACTTCGCTGCGCTAATTCAGCATTGAACTTCATGTGTGCCACTAAGCGCACAGTTGGGCTCCTCGTATTTAACCGCATAAATCTTTGCATTGGTCAATAAGCAAAGAAATGCCAAGTATTATTCCCCACCGCACGGCGTACAACAACTGCATTAAGAAGCAGTGGCTACAACAACAATGTCCACATGAACCATCAACAACTGTGGGGAATTTATGAAAAGCACGCAACACACTTTACAGCAAAGAATGAAAGATTATGTCATGCATGTCCTTTTCCACACATACTTTTGTATAATTTCGCATTGTGTTTATTTTCTTTTTTTCTTTTGTGTATTTGTGTGTATCCTTTATGCTTTTTGTGTTTTAGTATCCTGTGAATTGTGCAAAACGTATGACGACTTTGCAGAAAATTGAAACGAAATTAAAGTAAAGCAAGGACCGTGACTCCGAAACGGAAATTAGCTGCCGTTTATCCGAGTATATGCGCTTGTATGTGTGAGTAAAGTGGCTGGCTTATGTGTAAATACCGAATGTCGTCCACTTTATACATTATTAGGCATTGGGAATTCATTTATATTGAAATTTATACTTTGCCTGTAAACACTTTGGTATCTTTGTTTCATTATCCTTTTAATGCTTGTCCGTGTTCAGTTGCATTTGCTAAGGATATAGGCTTAGAAAGTTAATACAGCATTAGTTTAGGTATTAATCTTATTAAGGCCAAGTTGCATAAAATCAAGTAAAAGTCCTGGCTTATGCCCAATACAATTATAAAGACATTGTTAAACTTTAATTGCAAGAATACAAACAATAAGTCCACGAACTTACACATAAATGCTTTTATCTGACCAAATGAAATGTAAGCGAAGTAACTGAGTTATTGCATCCATAACTAAAATAAATTATATTCCAAATTAATATTTAAGGAATATTTAATTTAATTTTATAATAATAACTTCTTAAAGAATTAAATTGCTTCTCAAATATAAAAAGGAAATTTAAACTTTATGAAAGTGTTCCTTCGATATTTATATCTTTAGATATGTTATACTTTTTAATCAAACATGATATTGTTCACATTTTATTATTCTTCGGAATTATTTAACATTTCTTTGAATAGGCCTTTTCTTTTATAAGCATGTCTCAAAAGAACAAATAAAATAAGCACTACTTTCGATGCCAACTCTGGAAAAAACGGAAATTTTGTTAAGCTTACATATGCCAAACACGTAATAAAATTTAAAGTTAAAATTTCAAAAATGAATAATAATTCTTTGCAATTATTGGTAAAAACATTTTTCTTTTTACATAATGATTAAAATATGAGTTTTCATGCCTTTTAACAGTAAATTAATAAATAAAAAAAATAAGGTATTTGTTACGAACAAAGATAACACGAAATACGAAGAATTAATGAAATCATTCGTTAACAGTGAACTGGAAATTTCATATGTACTTCCAAAAATCGTTCACAAAAGACGAGTTTTTAGTCTTGGCAACCATGCGATTTGAGCTGCTTCTTAGTTAAGCGGTTTCAAAAAGGTTGGACTAAATAAGCGAGCAGTGTTGTTGTTTCATAAGTTATTTTTAAAATCAGCGGTTGTTCTTTTGTGATTTGCTTACAAAAGAAGACGCCTAATGTAATAAGAATGTATATTAGTTACCTAAAACTCTTACTAAATTCTACTTTCACTATAAATACTTAAAATCATTTTTTTAATAGAAAACTGAAGGTTTAATATACCAGGTGTATGCATATGTTTTTTTTCGGTTTAACCAACGAAAAATACGCAACGTAATTGAGTCCACCAAAAACTAGCGTCTTTCCTTTATTCTTTAGTCGGCTTCTGTTCCAGAAAAAGAACGCATGCGGCACGCATATCTTTTCTTATTTAATCGAAATAAAAGATAGCTAAAAGTCATCGTTCGCTAGTAGAACACACTAGCTTAGAACTGGACATACTGTTTGGACAATTTAAAATTGGTAAAGTCCGAAGACGACCAATTGTAAGAATTGCAAACTCAACAACATCGGCAAAACCATTAAATGTGTCACAAAAAACAATCAGCAGATGTTAACGAGCAATGGGGAAGTTCAATCAACTAAGAAAATAGGTCCCAAACGGTTTGAATTAATTTCAAATAGAAAATCGCAGAATCAACTGTAAAATGATCCTTCAACACCACGAAAGAAATTCATTTATATATCGAACTGTGATGTATGTAAACAAATGGATTTATTCCATGAATCTGAAGTCACAAAAATCGTGGCTTTCAATCTTTCAATCTTTCAGAATTAAGATCGAATCTCTTCGACAAGATAGCTATGCTTTATGTCTGGTGGGACCAATGCGCCTTCTCACTCAGTAAAACCTAGGAAAAAAAATTTCATTTTAATATTTGTACTGGTTTATAAAGCACTGAATTTTAATGATCTGATTTTAATTGTGCCACACTGTGCGTTGTCCGGTGCAGCCTGATTACGTCACCGTAAGATGACGCTGAAGCATGTGTGCCGTGTTCGCCGAAACATAGTTATTTCAACATGGCTACTTATAACTCATTGGATATTAGACAGTGTATTGCAACCAATGAATAATTATAATAAATATGTTAATAATATAAAAGATTTCAAATAAAAAAATTATATTAATCCCATAATGTCATATATAATGCATAATTAAAATTCCTAATAAAAATTTAATACATTAAACCGAAATATGATATATTTTATATATATCGTATCTTGCGCCGCAATATAATTAGATTTACATAAAATTATCCACGTACCATATATTTTGTATAAAAAATCCTATTAAAATGATTTCGTAAAATATTTCTACTGATACGGGCATAGATAAATATACATTACATTGTGCAAAAATGAATAAAACCTCCACTCAAACTAACTTCTACAAAAATTAGTGCAGAACTCACAGATTTTGACCCGCTTCCCGAAAAAATCAGTCGTGAATGTGATGAGGAAATACAAAAAATATTTACTCGTAATGTGTAGAATACATCCTATTCTATTTGCAATGTACTCGTATCTAAAGCCTTCCTAGGACTGTGTGCAAGCGTTCCATGCACAGACAAGGGCACACACGTATGGTCATAGAGCCCGCATAAAAATGAAATATTGTAAGAGCGACACTAACGTATCATTAGTGAAAATTTTCGCTACATTGAGTCACATAGCGTGCATAGTTGAATGTGGTGAAAGAGAGAAGCTTCCGTGGATTTGTAAGCGCCAAAAGATTATTTAACGCGGGCGTGCATTGTCGACGTATCCTAACAAAAAATTCAAAAGATTCGTGCCTACATAAATACGAGTATGCTTTCGAATTCACATAGGAATGGCATAGACATGAATACATACATAACATATATGCATGCCTGCAATGTGTAAATATACTATCTTACAAAGGTATGTGGACAGGACACTAGAAACTTTTCTGAGTGCTGACATGTACTGTGTTGTCCAAAGTTGCACAGAAATATTAAGTTTTAATAATTCTCAGTTCAATAATCAATCAATTTGCACATTTCATTCAATAAAACGGAAATAAATTATATTTAAATTTAATTATTTAAAACGAGAATAATATGTAAAGATTATTCATAATCATGATTTTAACAACTCTAAACCAAAGAATGAAAGTCTATTATTATTATTATTGTTAGGGGATATGGCACTGCGCCCATCAGGTCTATTGTGCCCCGTCCTGGGCTTAGAGTAGGTCTTTTAGCCCTGTTCCGTTAATAGTAGTATGGAACCTACTTTACACAGTGGTATTGCCTCTTCCGTAAGAATATACATTCCTTGGAGCCTATTTCGTATGTGTATTAGCACACGGCATTCTAACAAGACATGTGTGACCGAAAGTCTATAGGGGTCCCAATCATTTTGCACATTTCATTCAATAAAACGGAAACAAGTTAGATTTTAATTTAATTATCTAAAACGAGAATAATATCTAAAGACTATTAGTAATCATGATTTCAACAACTCTAAACCAAAGAATGAATATATGAAAGTCTATTATTATTATTATTGTTAGATGATGTGGCACTGCGACCATCAGGTCTATTGGGCCCCTTTCTGGGCTTAGAGCAGGTCTTTAAGCCTTGTTTCAATAAAAATTGCCTCCTTCGTAAGAATGTACATTCCTAGGAGCCTATTCTAACAGCACATGTGTGGCCAAGAGTCTATAGGGGTCGCAATATTTTCGGCAGGCAGTGTATTTCCATTCCAAAACTATCAATTTGCATATGTGTGAATTAGCATAGTTTGCGTCAGTAAGTGTGCATGTAAGTTTAACGCATATATACAATACGACGCAAATCAAATTCGCTGATTGCAGTGGAATTGGATGGTTACCATAGCACACAGATACGCACACATACACGTTCACATGCCGGAGCGCCTTTCATGCAATTCGGCTGAAAAAAATTGGAATATTTGCATTTGAATTTATGCGCCACAGGAGCACAGCATATGCGCATTTGCCATGAGGTTAACATTAAATATTAAATTAATCAAAAATTGTAAAGAATGCCGTATTAAGGATATACACAATATATAAAAATTTAGTGCAGCAGGACTCAAATATGC